AGATCCACTGGATTGCATGAGCTGATACTAGAGCTTCACTCAGGGACCTGGAAGATTCAAGTCCAGTTGGATAACACAGGTTGAGAGAACCTGTCCATGATGTGCAAGCCTGAAGCAACAGTGGAGAGGAAAAACTCCCCATTGTGAAGAAACCTCTGGCAGAACCAGGCTCACCATGGCTGTCTTCTGCCAGACCGGTTGAGATGAGACAGGGAACGCAGTAAGAGTCCGGGAGGAATTACACTCTGATGAAGTTTTAGCTACGATGGTGGAGGAGGGGCTGGAGGTGGGTTGAAAAGGGGTCATCTGAATGAAGTCACACGGCGCAACCACCGCCTGCGCACAGGAGCAGACGAGTTGCGGATCAGAGGCCTTTTAAGATGAACTTTGATGCTGATTGGCTTTCGTAGAGGCATGGTTCAAAGCCGATTGGCTGTGACGCAGGCAAATGAAGGCGAATAATCAGTTTATTCAGTTGAACTTCCGCCTAGGCTCCATATCTCTATACACTTTTTTTATATATTTTTTTGCAGTGTTGATTATGAATAAAACTTTTCTCCTTGCTTCTTATAAATATAATTATGCTCTAAAAATATGTCATTATGTTTATATTACTGTATTATGGATGACATCATTGTCTTGCATTTGCAATGGTCTTTCGCAGTATTTTCTTTTTGATAAATTCTTTTAATTTGTATGTTAGCATTAAGCATACTTTTCTACATTGTTTTCCAGAAGGAAAAATAATAATTGAAGTTTGGTAATATTTTAAAGTGTGGCTTTTAAGTTCAATAAATCCTAATCCAGGCAACATCATATCTTATGGGAATTAAAAACAGAACATCTGCTGCTAGCCTAGTTTGGCCATAGGTGTATGGTAGTTAGAGATAAAGAAGGAATTTTCTGAATAGATTAAGTTGCAGCTTGTCTCTGCTGTTCCTGCAAACCAATATTTAGACAATCTGCCTGCAGCAGGCTTTAAAACAGCAACAGTCAAGCCAGTTTATAGGAAAAACAGACACCATTCCTGTCAGTTTTTATGGTAAGGGCATGAGTTTTAAAGTGAGAGGTGAGGCAATCATTATGCTGTGCAGGCACCAGGAGTGAAACAAGGTGTCTAACAGAAACTCATAACCTGCTCAGCTGTCACAAGATTCTGGCCTTTGAGGATAAGGAAAAGTAAATGTGGGCACTCCCTCTTTTCAGTGTCTGGATAGAATTATTTAGGAACCAATGAGAGAGCGGACAACCACTAATTAATATATTGCTGATAAATCTTTCACCCATATTCAGGTGACTGTGCTGCTTAGGGTTTATTCCCAGAGTTCCCTCTTTGTTTTGAAATACAAAATGGAGCCTAGGTGGAAGTTCAACTGAATAAACTGATTATTCGCCTTCATTCGCCTACGACACAGCCAATCAGCTTTGAACTATGCTTCCATGAAAGCCAATCGGCATCCAAAGTTCATCTTAAAAGGCCTCTGATCCGCAACTCGTCTGCTCCTGTGCGCAGGCGGTGGTTGCGCCGTGTGACTTCATTCAGATGACCCCTTTTCAACCCACCTCCAGCCCGTCCTCCACCATCGTAGCTAAAGCTTCATCCGTGTAATTCCTCCCGGACTCTTACTGCGTTCCCTGTTTTATCTCAACCGGTCTGGCAGAAGACAGCCATGTTGAGCCTGGTTCTGCCAGAGGTTTTTTCACAATGGAGAGTTTTTCCTCTCCACTGTCACCTCATGCTTGCTCATCATGGACAGGTTTCAGGCCTGGGGGGAAACAGCCCTGTTCTTTAATCCTGTTCATGCATATCTATCAAAATTCAGTGCTAAGTTTCCTGCCAAGTTTCTGAGCGCCAAAAACCAAGTATTGTATCAATACATTTCTTCTAATTGTCTTTTCTCTCCATGTGAGTTTGTCAGATTGAAATATTGTTAACAGACAAAATCTGTTTTTATCCATATCAAACCTGTCAAACTCCCTAAACCCCACTATAAAATGTAACTGTTGGTTCTCTAATGTGAAAAAAGAAAAATAACTTCTGCTCTGTAGTGGAAAGTATATGATCATTCATGATTTTGTATTATTTTTAGTTTGACAAAAAATAGAACCTTTGTCTATTTTCTAACAATCTAATATCTAAACGAGCACGAAACGTTTTTTGACATTCTGTTCCCCCTAAAAAGGCACATGCTTAACCAGAACAGGATATTGGAGCAATAAAGCTGGAAAAGGGGTTTGGAAGTTAATAGCATTTTAAAATCCTAAGAGGCAAAAAAAAAATCTTTGTGCACAAGATGTAATGGAAATAGGGTCAAGCCAAAGTTAAGTTTATGGGTTTTAGAAAAACATTCCCCCATTACTCACTGATTTTATTTCCCATTAAGAAAAATTGGTACAGTGACCAGAATGTGACCTGAGCAGGGGAGCCAGCTTGTGTGTATCAGTGTGTTTTTCCCCCTAATGTGACTGATAGCAAATAAAGCAACAAGCACCACTCAGTGCAGAGCCCCATCTTCTTTACCTCATAGCTCCTTAACTTTACTTGTGTGGTTATTAACTCCCTGGTTGGTGAGTTTTCCTTTCTGCTCCTCACTGTTTAGTTGTCATGGTAGCATGACACCAAACACTTATTATCTGACCCTCTGGGGTTAGTCAAACTTCTAAAACTTGGAGGGTGAGGGGCTAGTTTTGGGTTAAGCCTTCACCTCGAGGTGTTCACTGCTGCATCTAACAGGACCTTAATTAAATTGCTGAGACACCGAAGCAGGAATGTTTGCTGTGCTCTCTGCCTCTACCTTTGACATCCCTCTCCCTCCACCTTTCTTTGCTTTTCCCATCCTCATGGTCCCCTTCAGGCTTTTAGGGCCTCACACTTCCTACAGATTAGACAATGAGGGCAGAAAGTTTCAATAAGATGTAATGACGCCAGCTTGATATTAAAATAAGGCTCTTGGTTCTTATTAAATGCACAACTCATTTAAGGATTACAGACATTATTTACTACCATTAAATCATCATGCAGGGTACACTGAAGGGCTTGAAATAGTAATAAGGTATTTAATATATAGACTATGGTACAAAGGGTTCAATTATTTTAAAGGAACAGAATAGACCTAAAAAATAAAACTTAGTATTTATCATTTATTAATATTTTAAACAGTTGAAAACAAAGAATATTCCTACAAAATGTTCCAATTCACAAAGATATCATATATTTACATTTCTTTCTCTCTTTCTTTCTTGATATATTGATTGGTGGGTTTTTGCACAATCAGAAGTTTAAATTAGAGCAGGAAATACTAAATCACAGTCATTAACAAAATATTTTTATGCACAAAAAAAAAATAATCCAAAGGACTGCATGCATGCAATTTCCTGTACACTGGATTTGGTTGTGAACTACTTTGTTTTCAGATTCAGCAAGCATTGCAGGTTAATGCTCAGTGAGACGAGGGAGAACATAATAAGGTTGAAACAGAAGAGGAAAAAGGAGAGGAAAATAGGAAAATGGAAGTTACTCTTGGCTCATATTCCAAATATTGATTTGGAATAGCCTACTCAAAAATAATATTGCAATTTAGCTGTTTAAATTATGGTTTGTTTGTTTTTTTATAAATTAACTTGCCAGATACAGATTAATTTCAAGGTTTTACAGCTAGGTATAAGTCATTGTTTAAAAACTGCAAATAAAAGCAAGATTATGAGCTCTGTATGAAAATAAAGTCACATTTAGTTTATAATTAGTGTTAGCTACTGCATTACAAATTGGTTTTGTTATTTATATTCCATTTTATGTCATTTGAATATTTCAGAATTGTAATAAAGACATTTACAATTAAGCTTTTGTATCTTTTTCCAACATTTTCCTCTAGGTTTTCTATTACTATTTTCTATTACTATGACCCACAAAATATAAGATGTGGGCATTATGTTCATAATCAATGCACAGACCATAAATATATAAAAATGTAGCATTTAACCAAAGATTATTTTACAATCTCTATATTGCAAAGATGCATATTGCTGTTGATTGTTAGTAAATAGCTTTTTCAGCTCCAGTATAAAGATATAACTGAGACATTCTGACAAAAACATCCCAGGACACCTGTCCTGCGGGTATACATGTTTTTCTTTATAAACTGTTTTGGTCTTAAATTTAGCTTTATGTATGAATCATTACAAGTTTTACTTTTTGAACCGAATAAGTGAAGTGATTCTTTTTTTTTTTTTTTTTTTGTAATAATCTAATTAATTGATATCCCTTTAAATTTTATCACAGTCGAAAAATGTTAATAGAAAATAGGCCCATATTGATATGTCAAAGCAATTCTCTATTTTTCTTTTAAAGCCTGACATTAGTCAACTCCAACAACACACACCATTTTCAGAGAAGGAATTGCTGATGGATAAAACCTGCTAGAGTCTGACAGGGCAGACAGACTCCCTCAGTTCCTCCCCTGGGCATCACAAACTCATGGTGCAAATAAAATGGGATGATAAAACAGGCAGAGGTCAGGCTGGAGCCGTGGAGAGGGAGCAGATAACAACCTCTAATCCGAAAAATCCAACACTAGCAGGTCTGAAGAAGCGACAGAAAGATAAGAACTAATCCTGTTTCCACATATCTCTGCGGGGAACCCTCCTATCTCGGTCTCTCTCCTCCTCCCCCTGAGAGCGCGCACTGGACCAGCTTTTGACCCGTGGTCCTGACCTGCGCACCGGGTGCGGAGGAATGCGAGTCACTGCTGCTGCAGAACAAGGCTGAAGGACTGTCTTTGGCATGTTAAGCGCAATGTTTGCGCACACAGATCCGAATCCAGCACTTATTTTAAAACAATGAATTGATTACCTCCAAATTGCATCAACATCACAGCATCCCCACTGATCTGGTGCATTTCTTTTGAACTTGAAGCGTTATTAAAAAAAAAAAAAAGTCTGAAATGTTCAACTAATAAAGAAGAGAGGTGTGCGCTCAATAGAAGCGCTATAGGAAAGTTTACCTTGGCGCAGTATAATCCAGAGCCTGTTGGAATGCAGCTTCAGATCAAAGTCCTTATCCACTTTATGAGCGTGTTTCTCAATGAAAACCCCGAAAAAGAAGGGCTGGGAAAAGTTGTCTTACAGCAAAGAAGACTTTTAGCCGGAACACATCGTTTAGGCTGAGCTGGGAATCACTGCAGCGCACTGAAGACTCGCTCCAAGTCTGCCACACTTCAACTGAAGCGCTCAGTAAGGAGAGGGAGGAGGAGAGCGGATCAACCAGCTGCGGACAAGTGGGAGGTGCGAGCAGGCGGGGCGCGCGTCCGCGGCGCGCAGCGCACCTGAAGCACACAGGCTCAGAAAAAGGTTTTATTCGCTCTGACCTAACAGCATTATGGAAGAAACGCACAGAAACCTCTCTTAAAAGTTTTGGCAGACTATTCCTTATAAGTTTATTCAATTCAATTTTCAATTCAATTAATTTCTATAGCGCCAATTCACAATACAAGTCATCTCAAGGCACTTTTTACAGTTCACCATCATACAATGAAATTGATTCAAAGTTTTCTATCTAAGGAAAAACAGTTGATTGCATGGACTCTTGACTCAAATGCAATCCCTCACACTAAGCATACTTATGGCAATAGTGGGGAGGAAAAACTCCCTTTTAACAGAAGGAAACCTCCAGCAGAACCAGGCTCAGTGTCAGCTGCCATTTGCTGAGACCAACTGGGGTTCAAGGAGACAGAAGCAGATATACAAAAAGCAACTGTAAAAGGCAGCCCCGTCCAGGAAACACACAGCCAGGCAGACCAGCTCCGAGCCAGCTCCCATGTCAGAAGATGAAGAGAGCACATCCAGCCAGTCACAGCCAGAGAAACAGGACTACACTGAAAAACAGGCAGAACTCCAACGTCTATAAACAAAGATGTTGATGGCAGCAGCATAGCTGATATTTCTCTCCAGGGTGGTGTTAAGGTGTTATAATTAACATCACCTTATTTTGCAATAAATCCCAGCATTGGCGGTTTTAGATGAAGTTAACCGTGGGGGGGAGCCGCACAGATAGGGTGACCAAACGTCCGTATTTCCCGGGACATATCCGTATTTCACGTCCTGTCCCGGGCGTCCCGGGTTTTTTTTAGAAAGTGAGGAAATGTCCTGATTTCACTGAGCACGATGCTCCGTGTGACGTAATCCCTGAGCCGCGTCAGTGCGGGCAGCCCTGTTCTTAATCAGAGGCTCTGTTCGAAAACCTGGGCTGCATCATCCAAGGACGCGGTCTACCTAGACTGGATCCTTCGAAGTCTTTGAAAATAAGGAGGCCGGAAGAGTTTTGTCTGTAAATTCGAACAGGTCTACCCTTCGGCGGGTTTTTACCGCCGTATGCTCTGTTGCTAAGCAACCGCGAAAGTTGACACACAAAGCAGGAAAAGAATGAATACCGAGGTTTTCAAAACGGTTTGTTTATTTATTTATTTTTTAAAAAGTTAAAGTGGACAAAGACTACACTCAGAAGAATCCAGAGTGGAATAAAGGTTCCAGCCACCGGGAGCAGGAACAAATCAAATCAAATGTAATGATAGAAACCTTAGTCAGTTAAATAACCTGCTGCTGTCATTCTGCACATCTCTGATGTTGCTGCTATTTTCAAATATCCATTACTGTAAAAATGTCCATAGCTGCATATTGGTTATTAATTCTCCAGTTTTAAATTGTTAAAACACTTTACAGGATTGTATTGTTTATATTTTAACTCTTCCCTATTATGTTATTCTTATACATTTTTCTAAGGTCCTCATTTGTGTGACCATTTTCATTAATCTTTCTGCTGCTGTAAATTTGCCCATTGTGGGACAATAAAGGGATTTTCTATTCTATTCTATAAAAGGGTTAGAAATATATAAGTAAATCTAAACAATGTATCTACAAAATATATCTGCAAAATCTCTAATATTCAACAACAAAAAATACTTAGTTAAGCATATTGTGCAAAACAACAATAAAAAAATTAAAGTCCTATCAGATTTATAGTCCCCCCTGCAGATCTATTAGAATCTGTCCTTAAATTACAGCCAAACCCATTTACACAGTAACAGAGTAAAACCAAACACTACCTCCACATATCTGACTCTATAACCATTAAAACAACTATTTTCATTAATTTCAGACGGAACTATTCACAGAGTTGTATTATATTAAACTGAACTTCCAATATTCACCACTGTTCTGCGCCAAGTAACATTTCCTCTGATCACGGAGCAAATCCCGATGATGAGACACAGATATACAGTTATTCATGGAGAATCTGAATATACAGAATATACAGGTGCTGGTCATAAAATTAGAATATCATGAAAAAGTAGATTGATTTCAGTAATTCCATTTAAAAAGTGAAACTTGTATATTATATTCATACATTACATACAAACTCATATATTTCAGATGTTTATTTTGTTTAATTTTGATGATTACAAATGACAACAAATGAAAATCTCAAATTCATCAGATCAGAAAATTAGAATATTACTGAAGACCAATAAAAACAAAGGATTTATAGAAATGTTGGCCAACTGAAAAGTATGAACATGAAAAGTATGAGCATGTACAGCACTCAGTATTTAGTTGGGCCTCCTTTGGCCTGTATTACTGCAGCAATGCGGCGTGGCATGGAGTCGATCAGTCTGTGGCACTGCTCAGGTGTTATGATAGCCCAGGTTGCTCTAATAGTGGCTTTTAGCTCTTCTGAATTGTTGGGTCTGGTGTATTGCATCTTCTTCTTCACAATACCCCATAGATTTTCTATGGGGTTAAGGTCAGGAGAGTTTGCTGGCCAATTAAGAACAGGGATACCATGGTCCTTCAACCAGGTACTGGTAGCTTTGGCACTGTGTGCAGGTGCCAAGTCCTGTTGGAAAATGAAATCTGCATCTCCAAAAAGTTGGTCAGCTGCAGGAAGCATGAAGTGCTCTAAAACTTCCTGGTATGTGGCTGCGTTGACCCTGGACCTCAGAAAACACAATGGACCAACACCAGCAGATGACATGGCACCCCAAACCATCACTGACTGTGGAAACTTTACACTGGACTTCAAGCAACGTGGATGAAGTGCCTCTCTTCTTTTCCTCCAGACTCTGGGACCTTGATTTCCAAAGGAAATGCAAAATTTACTTTCATCAGAGAACATGACTTTGGACCACTCACCAGCAGTCCAGTCCTGTTTCTCTTTAGCCCAGGCAAGACGCTTCTGACGCTGTCTGTGGTTCAAGAGTGGCTTGACACAAGGAATGCGACAGCAGAAACCCATGTCTTTCATACGTCTGTGTGTGGTGGTTCTTGAAGCACTCACTCCAGCTGCAGTCCACTCTTTGTGAATCTCCCCCACATTTTTGAATGGGTTTTGTTTCACAATCCTCTCCAGGGTGCGGTTATCTCTCTTGCTTGTACACTTTTTTCGACCACATCTTTTCCTTCCCTTCGCCTCTCTATTAATGTGCTTGGACACTGAGCTCTGTGAACAGCCAGCCTCTTTAGCGATGACCTTTTGTGTCTTGCCCTCCTTGTGCAAGGTGTCGATGGTCGTCTTTTGGACAACTGTCAAGTCAGCAGTCTTCCCCATGATTGTGTAGCCTATAGAACTAGACTGAAAGACCATTTAAAGGCTTTTGCAGGTGGTTTGAGTTAATTAGCTGATTAGAGTGTGGCACCAGGGGCCATCAATTTTGAACCTTTTCACAATATTCTAATTTTCTGATATGATGAATTTGAGATTTTCATTTGTAATCATCAAAATTAAACAAAATAAACATCTGAAATATATGAGTTTGTATGTAATGTATGAATATAATATACAAGTTTCACTTTTTAAATGGAATTACTGAAATCAATCTACTTTTTCATGATATTCTAATTTTATGACCAGCACCTGTACAGTTATTCATGGAGAATCTGCCAACATCTCAAATATTAGTTATGGAAAAAGGGTCTATGTGACAGAAGATTAACACCCAAAATCACCTTAAACACACACCATGCAGTCATATAAAGGGGGGTTATACTCCCCATGCACTTTGAGGAGGGCTTTTCTTCAGCAATCCTGGCAGAAACTTTTCAAAGGCTGCAAAAGACTCAAGACTGGAGGTTTTTACTTACCAGCAAGACAGCAACCCAAAATGTGAAGGATTAAAAAATATCACATGCATCTGTTAGAATGGGCCAGTTAAAGTCTAGATTAAATTATGATTGAGAATTTGGTTAAAATGAAAATCATATCAGTTTATTCATACAGTGGCAATTCACATCACATGTCATCTTGAGGTACTTTACAGAGCCAATAAAAAAAAAATGTAGACAGATTGGTTAAACAGTTTAATCTCAGAGGAAACCCAAAATGTTGCACCGAGTCATTGACTTGCAGAACCCAGTCCTGCTGGATAGGCATTTAGCAGCATTGGGCAGTCCCTTGGATTGTATCAGTCACTTTGCAGCAATGACATTATATGAAGCATGCATCTGCATGCAACAGTGGAAAGAAAAACTCCTTTTAAGAGCAAGAATCAGCAGAATTCATTGTTAACGATTATTCAACACCAATGACCAGGAATGGTAGCAGACAGAGCAGACACATAAAGAAACACAGAAGTACTTATCTTGAAATACTTTCTATATGAGATAACAGTAAAAGGTGATGTCTTTAGGTCCTGTCAGGACTTCTGAATTGATTTGTTCACTAACATTTTACATAAAACCTAAAAGAGCTTAAGATATTTACAGAGAAAAATTCCAATACATAACCTGCTTCTTAAATTTTGTCAGGATCTTAAAGTGTGTGGATCTAACATACATCAGCAACAGCTCAACAGTTAGAAATGCCTTCATGACATCAGGAATGATCTGCCTCAACAGTAAACTAATTTATACTGTGGACCAAAGTTGGTAGATTATGATGTCATTGGCTTTATGATATTAATTGCTAAATCCCCGCTGGCATCATCTGGAACCCCACAAGCTGTGTTAATATCATCAAATAATCACTATTTAAAAACCTACTTGTCTTTCACCTGTTTTTCTTTATCAGGCCTCTTGTGTCAGCTGTTTCAAAATTTACCCCACTGCTCATATTTCATTTTATTTCCATTGCAGTCTTCAAGTTTGCTTTTCCATTTTGAGCCAGTTTATTTATAAACAGTCTTGGGAAAGTTGCTGCAGTCGTCCTGCTAACCAAACATTTCCTTCTGTCATCTA